ACATAGACCATTTCATACAACAGGGATAAATACGATGGGCTGTATGTAAGTCCAACAATCCTCTCCAGTGATAAATTCCAGAATAGTGTCTTACAGCATAATTCACCTTAATTTTTGTGTTTCATATGGTTTACTGATCATAATTGAGCACAATTCTGGGAAAAATATTTTGCTAGGTATGAAAAACTGAAATGAAAATTGACTCATGCCTTGCATCATCTCAATTTGCCCAGTACTTTTTGTTAATGACTTTCGTTATTACTTTTCTCAATTCTACATTGAATTGATGGAGTATCCTTAGAATTGTGCATGTAGTAACATTTAAATTTTCTTTTAGGAGTGGGCTATTGTGAGCTGATCAATCCCTCACAAGACACTAAATTTCATTTTTTTTATTCCAGTTAATGAGTTCTCTTTTGAATCTTTCTTCATTTTAATCTTTTGTTGGCTTAGTTTACAAATTTTTACTACCATGATATCAGTGAAAGAATATTTTTCCCAATTTCGCNAGAATTCAGTACAAATAAATATAGTGCTGAAGAATCTCCAACTTTAAATATCCCCCTTTTAAAATCAGCCAGTGACGTATCAGCATCAGAAACTTCAGATGATGAAAAATGCACAAACGTAAAATTTAAAGTACCTACTTTATTGCCAGCAAATCAGGGGCAAATGCGTGTGATTCAAGCTTGGCCAGAGAATGGGAATGATATCAAGTTTAAGACAAGGCAGAAGAAAAAAATGGTTGAACGCCTTGCCCCCATCAATCTGTTAATAGATGAAGAATATGTATTACGAAAAAAGGAATCAAAAAAATTTGACAGGGTTATAATTGAAGATTTATCAACAGAAGAATTTGAGACAGTTACACATCTAAAACCATGTCACATCGAAATTGCTAATAATGAACAAAAAACTGAGTATCAGCAAAAGATTAACACATTTAATGCTAATACAGAAAATCTAAACAAACAAGTGAAATTTTTCTCCGTACAAAATGAGCCTCAACGATTCGATGACTTAATAATTGAAGACTTGGCAACAGAAACATTTGATATCACATCTGTAGGACTTAAACCGCGCTGTTTTGAAATACATAAGAATACCCAGGACCATGATTACAGAAAACGTGATGTAAGAGTTCATGCACAAGAAACAGACCACCCATTAAAAAGTGAAAATGGCTATTCTTCATCTCTGCTACAGGATGATGGTATCGTGTGGGTAAAACCACTGCATTCCCCCAATGCTGATAATCATAGCATTGATAACAGAATTGAAAAGAAAGCTTTTCTACCAATGCATAGAAGTCAGAAATATAAAAGTACAGATACGAAATGCTCATTGTTGACTAAAGAATTGAGACCGTGTGAAGATGTAAGGTTGGATAACGTTACAAGAGCCGACAAAGATAATGCAATAATTAATGCATTTGGATCTATGATGGATTTGTGTAATGATAATCTTAAAGACAGCATTACTAGACACTTGGAATTGAATTTGCCAATCACATCACCACAAAAGATTAACAGGACTTCTGGCCTTATAAATCTTAACAACGAAATTAACTTGTCCTCAAGTTTTTCTAAACAATCGCCCTCTTCCAAAATATCTCTAATTCCGACTAAAAAATGCACGAATGCAAGCTCTTTAAGAAAGATAACATATTCTACACGCAGTTTGTCAAGTAAGGGAATATATTCTTCTTACAGCCCAATCAAGTTGATGCTAAGAAAAAATTTATACACGAGTAAATGCAAATCTTGTCCAGATATTTACAGACGGTTCAAAAGCAATTTGAGGAAACATAAAGTCAAATTTATTGCGAATAAGAAATCTTTTGGTAAAATATATCCAGAATCAAACAAACAACTAAACTCCATGAAGTACAACGAATACCTACATGAGCTAAGGAAATGTAACCAAGTAAAATATTCAGCTCATAGTGAAAGTAGAGATGAAGATCTTACAATTATGACGGAATACGCTAGGAACAAAAAACACAAACCTAAAAACGGTAATGCTAGAGAAACAGAGGATCACGAAATAATTAAAACTGTAGTAGCATGTGTCAATTGGATGAATGATATTATTTCAGGTGCAGATAACTTTTCTGCCTCAGATGGCAACATGATGAACAACATCAACAATGATGAAATTATATCATTGGAGCTACATTCATTAACTGAAATGCTGCCACTCACACAAAACATAAACGTTGAGTCCGTGTCTGGAGAAAATGGAAATGACAGGGAAAGACGCACAGAAGTGACAAACTTAAAGGAAACATCAAAAATGACTCCTGCTGTAAAGAATTTCTAAAATGTATAAATGTATTATCACATAATAAAAAATAAATGACTTGAAGATCAGTTTATTTCAATAATACTACAATTTAGTCATTACTAATCATTTTATCCTGCCTATCCTCTCTTTGTAGGTAACATTAACTGTTAGTATATAAAAAGAAAAAAAATGCTTTTAGAGCACTAAACTGTATTATTTATATTGTCTAAAGATATTGGGATTATATTTAATATATTAGTGAAAAGGATTGAAATAAGACAATTTTTGTTGTTTCCCCCATGCTCTTTACTTTTAACGGACCAATCAAATATGTTATTCAGCTTAGCAGTTCCTGGTAGTATGTTGGATTGGTCCAATTCAAATCTATCTGGCCATTAACATTGAAATGATGCTTTTACTGACCCTACTCTATTGATGGTTCTTCCTAGTCGTGTTGCAGCCTATTTTATTTTTCATTTATATGAGCTATATTTTGAAGGACAAAAATTAAAGGCACATTGACTTATTATTTATTTGCTACAGCTCAGCCTGCTTGAGTGTGGCTTTCACTGCCTATTTTTTGTTTTAAATATTACAGTTGTATTCTGTTGGCTTTTTGTTTTCCCGTTTTATCGTCTTACTTAGTTATTAATTAAAATAATTACAGTCGATGAGATTCTATGACAGTTTAATCCATCCAGTCATTTTAGTATTTTATTCATGCATTTTAGTTTTATGTTTTCATTTACAGTTGACACATAAATTAACTACAATATGAATAATTTGTGTAAGTTCAGGCATGTGATTCCTAACCTTTCCTGAATAAGCTTGGTTTCACATAATTATTCTTATTATCTTTTCTTTTACTGTCCAAACTTTTCGTTCATCCTCAAGCTTCTCCTTTTGCCTTTCAAGGTCAAACCCGTTCAACGCCATTTTCAGAGTCAGGATATTTCCCAATTGGTTTGGAGTAAATTGTAATAATCTTTCTAATAAGAGAAGAAAGAATTAAATATATATGAAGGGATCCATCACATTCTGATCTCATTAAACCAAGTTGGTAACTTGTAATATATAAATAACACGTTCAGCACGTACGAGAATAGGACTTTCGACGTAGACTCCTAGAGAATAGATTCCCTATTACCCTTTCAAAACTCTTGGGAGCTAGAGTCTGTGCTGAATGTGAAAACTTCAACTTTCTTTTGGTTTTCTACCAACTATGTATTTAATAAATTAGTTTTCATTTTCTTATTTATAACTCGAATAACAGTGAAAGAAGCTGGTTCAAAGGGTATAAAAGATCGTTTTTCAACTTCCACTATACTGAACTCAACAGTAAACTAAAAGTACAGTATTACAACAATGAATGAGTATTTATTCAAAATAAATATCACTAATTCAAATATGTGTGACTATTGCCCAGAAATAGTTTCAAGGGAACACTTTATGATATGCACAAAATATATCAATGAAAGAGAAAGATTATTATATTCCATATTTCAACAACTGGCTCTACTATTGAATTATAAAACTATTTTAAGTTAAATAATTTACAAGTTTACCAATCAATTGTATAATATAAATAACAAATTGAAATGTGATAAAAATGGAACATAGCTTTTTTGGCAAGTACCGGAAATAAATAAATAATAATTTTAAAAAGTTTTCTGGAATTAATGGCACAAAAGAATTTTTGCTTAGATATCCTGGATTTGCTCAAACCAGTGCATTTGCAGTGCATACATGCATAGAATTGGCCTTAGAGCTATTGCAAACTTCAAGACGTGCGATGAACCAGAAAACATAAAAAAGCATATAATTTTGACACCCCTAGAATAAGAAGAGTTAAGATAGAAATTTTTCGATGGGATGTGTGTGCTGAGAAATTTTGAGCGACCGTTTTGCTAGCCAAGTTAGCTTTCAAATGGAAATATGGACGGGTATAAATTGTTATATATATTTTTGAAAGAATGTGTTATTGATGTGTGATACTGTGATATAGAGATTAGTGTTGTTGTATGTGTTATGGTAATTATTTACTTATGTGTAAAACTATTTATTTAACTGTTCTGTGTTCCTTGTATTAATTAATTTGTATTTATTATGTGAAGTATACTTATATATTTATTATATAAGGTATATATGAATGATGTAATGTAATATAATATAATTATATAATTCCTGTATGTTTAAAGCAAAGTAATATAATGTTTTTTTAATCGACTAAATTGTGGCTGATATTATCGAGATCAAAACAGAGTTTTCCCATTGCAAGGAAGAAGAAATAAAGGAATTTTCTTCATTTAATAAAGATGTTACAAAATTAAAAAAATAAAGTGCTGCAAAAAGAAAATACGGCTTTAAAATGAAATATACTGGCTCTTTAATCAGAAACAATTGAGCTTTTACAAGCCCCGCTTAACAATACATTACCCCAGAAGGATGAAGATCTTTTTTCCACAATCAAGAAAATCTCTGAGAAGATAATCTTTAATATGTCTGAAGAAATGATTGCTAAAATTACCTCCAAAAATTTTTATTATTAATTTTATAATAATAAAATTAATTCAAAACTCTAACAAATCAAACATTGCTGTAAAAACAAAAAAGTGCCTTTCTTACAACTGATTTTGTCAGAAGATTTTATTTTAATGAGTACTTCTTATCTGAATACTTAGACATATAAGATCCTTAAAACTAGGTAGGAGGATAGGTTTTAAGGACATTCTGAGCTGATCAAGAGAGCCGTTAAGTAAGTCAATATTGTTACGAATTTTATTTCTAAGTCAGTACAGTCTATTAATTAAGAATGGTTCAGGTAATTGGTGGTAGTTGAAGGAGTAGAGAAGAGTGGGCAAGATTGGGATTCAATTTTATACATATTTAGTAATAACAGTGAAAAGGTGAAATTTACTTTTAACAGACCACACAGAAAAATCTAACAATACTATTATGATCCTCTGTGTTAGGACAGCTTTTATTTTTGAGTTATATTGACAGTATTTGACAAATAATGGTACATTTGTTTATTATAATTTTCTAAAGAGCCTGCCTACCGTATTACCTGTCTGACAATGACTTATATAAAAATGTATATTGGAATTGGAGAAAGAAATAGTAGAGCTTAAAGCCTCTTTCAGACGAGGCGACTAGTTGAATGGATGGGTGTCAAGGAGTGTAACGTGGTAGCAAAATGTTTGGGAATCACCCCAACTTGTCTGTCACAACTGCCACCCATCTTCTCATCCCCAGTGGTTGACTCAACTCAAAAGACACTGCTCAGCATTTACACCAGTCGCCTAGTTGAGGTAACTGAGTTCACCATGGAAAGTGTTGCAACTGCAAGTTTCAATGTGGAGCGTTCATAGAAGATATTCATATTTGTCCTGTGATATGGGACATGAGGTGTGAGGAGTATAGTGATAAATTAAAAGAAGGTAAGCTTGGAGAGAAGTAGCACAACAGTATTTAAGAGAAAGAAAAACTTTTCTTTACTGGGTTTCCTCCTTTTTTGCTTTTATTTTTGCAGGAATACAAGCATAAGAAGTGCTCCTGCTTCTGTTGGAAAGAGTGGTTGATTCCACAAGTTGCCTAGTGTGAAACCAGCAAAGAAAGGGGCTTCATATGGCATTAAACTAGTTTAGAGTCAACCAGGCAACTTAGTTGAATCAACGAAACCGCCTCATCTGAAAGAGGCCTAAGTCAAGTAGGGTTGATACAATATGCTTACAAAAGTGAGTTAATTGTGCAAGATTGCATACCCCTATATTAGTTAAAAATTGTTCTGCGGCTCTCATCGCTCCTTTACACTATATTCTGATCTAGTCGTTATTTTCCCCAGTGCTTGGAAATGCACTTTGTCATTCCTCTACATAAGAAGAGATAATGTGTGATAGATCTAATGTTTCCAGTTACAGACCAATATCTATTCAATCCATGTTCTCCAAGATATTTAATTCCATTATTTGTAATAAACTTAAAAACGACATTAAATCTTTTATTATACCTCAGCAACATGGTTACTGCTCCAATAGATCAACTGTTACTAACCTGCTCACATTTCAAAATTATATCTTAGATGCAATAAACTCTGGACACCAAGTAGACTCAGTGTACACTGATTTCTCTAAAGCTTTTGATAAAGTAAATCACACAATACTGTTAAGGAAACTAATGGATTATGGTTTCACTGGAACTATCTTGAATTGGTTATCCAGCTTTCTCTCCGAGAGAAAACAAATAGTCAAAGTAAAATCATGTCCCTTTGCGGCTTCATCGGGAGTCCCGCAAGGGTCTCATCTTGGACCAGTTTTGTTTCTCTCTTTTAATGATATCCATCTTGCTCTCCATTCTGCTCAATTTTTATTATTTGCTGATGATCTGAAAATCTATTCGAAAATTACTTCTCCTTCTGATTGCTTTCAATTACAAAATTCTATCAATAATGTGCTAACCTGGTGCTCTAATAACAAACTTGTTCTCAATTTCTTCAAATGCTACATAATTACATTCTCTCATAAGAAACAACCTTTTCTTTATCACTACACTCTCCATGATTCTCTTTTAATGCGAGTTGAGTTCGTAAAGGATCTTGGTGTACTTTTTGATCAAAAGCTCAAGTTTAAAGAACATATTTCTTGAATAAAAAATAGATCTATGAATATGCTAGGTTTCATCATCCAGAACACCTATGAATTTAAAAATCCTCTATGTTTTGTCTATCTTTATAAAGCTTTTGTACAACCCATACTAGAATATGCTACACCTGTTTGGAATCCATACTATCTAAATGATCAAAAAATTCTTCAATCTGAACAAAACAAATTTAAAAAAACAAAACTTTCTTACAAACTCAATCTTTATTTTTTGTTATTGTAAAATGTCTTTTTATAGTGGATTTCGATCCATAAATAAACAAATAAAAAGATTATTTAATCATGGATAATAAGAGCAATCTAATATTCTTTAAAGTTCCTCAATGACATATGATGTAATTGATGATAGGAAACAGTATGATAAAACAAAGGTGAAAATTATACTTTGCAATTTAACCAAGACATTAGACAAAAAGTATTCTTAATTAAAATTATTCTATCTGGTGAAATTTTATGGAAGTTTTTTGTGTTGATGATTCTGCCAGAGTGCCATCTTACAGAGCAGTAGGGAAACTGTAGCAAGAGAGCCAGATTTTTACCCTAAATTCTAAAATTGTAGTATAAAAAACAATGTGTTGAGAGTCAGTCTTCTTTTTAACCCTAAGAAATATTTTTTAATAAAATGAGTACCATAGCAGATGGGCCTTCATACCATGCATTGTCCTTCACTTAGAGGAAATCCTGAGAGAAACCACCAAGAAATATGTGAGTCGCCTAAATTTATATTAATGAAATTGGCCATTATTTTGCTGCACTTTCCTGTCTTACTTTTAACCCCGAATTCCAGTCTCAAAAATTCCAATAATTACGCACTGGTTTTACATTGTTCATTGTGAAGTAATTACTTATATAAACAGCCTCAAAATGACAAATAGCATAACAAGAATTTTCTATTAAAAAACTTCCTTTTTTTGGAGAGGTAAAGTTAAGACGTCTTTAATACGATTTAAGACTTTTGGATTCTCCTTGCCTCATTAAGAACAAGAACAAATTAATTACGGTAAAATTAGGAAAAAAATTGAGCCACTTTGGAACATGAAAAAATGTGAAATGGCTGAGAATTTTATAATGAACACACTGAAAAGTAGAAATGATAAACCCTGAAAATGAAACGGATCTAATTCAAAGAAAAGATTTAGTAGAAGTAGTTAGCAGAGCTAGGACAAAAACACGCAGACACTATTAATTCTAATGCAGATAATGAGGAGTATATCATTGAACAACATATCATGACATTCTACACGACAGGATTGATGAAAACTTGCTATTTACTTATGAAGATATGGATACTACAATAAAACCAATAAACAAATAATTATCCAACCTGCAAGTGTGTCCGAAAATGATAAAAGGAAGTCATAATTGGCAAATTGAACAGCTTATTCTGTTAAAGGATGAAAAGTCATTTCCACTGAAATGTCCTTTAGCAAGAGTGTGAGACACATACAGGAGCTGATGGATTAATTAGGGATAGCGACCCTAAAATCCCGAAACAAAGTTGTAAAGAGACCAATAAACAAAATTGATCATTTACCAACCCAAATCATAAATGAAAATTCACTTGGAGAAGAAAAAGTTTGAAGTTTCCTTTAATTTGAATTTGATACCAAACTTATATATTCTTTTCTTTTGTTTTATCTAATATTACTTGTTTACTCATCAAATTATGTTGAATACTTCTAATTATTTCAAAGTATACACTACTAACAATTTGATAATTTATTATATTTGTATTGAATCAATTAGTTGTCCAATCATGTTAATGTACTACTCTTATTTGTCTTTCACTGATGCTGCCATTTTGCAGAGCAGTATAGGGTCTGTAGCAAGAGAACTCGATTATTACAGAAAACAACTGTGCTAATATTGAAAATTATGTACTATTTTGGTGTTGCGTGATTTTTCAAATGCATTTGAATCCAATTAACCGTAGTTCCTTTCTAACCAGGCTTTGCTAACAATTTAATTCAAGCTTTACGATTTGTAAATTTTTTAATTCATAGCCNAAAGAAATAAGAAGTAAATCTGAACGTCGTCAATCCAATGAACCTGGCGAAGCTGCCACCGCCATTCATTTAACAAATCAGGAATCAATTGAGGAAGAATTATATCTAGCAAAAATCATGGGTAAACTAGAAAAAACAACTATGCTCCTAGGTACAGTTAAATCGGGTTCATACGAACCACAAAAATCTGTTTTGGAAAAATCTGCCCCATCTTCTCAGAACAAAATTATGAGTAAAAATTTTGGAAGTTTGTCTCACAAACAATTAAATATCAATAGAACAGAAAACCTAATGAAACAAAGTAACATTCACATCCAAATAAAAGCACCTGCAAAAACACAAAATACAAATTCTACCTCTCAATCCAACAACATACAAACTGATAACAAATTAACACTACTTGGCAATACAGAAGACTTATTTGCTAACAATTGCTCTTTGCTTGCAATGATCAAGCTAAAGAAGGAAGAAGATCCCATCAAAGCTCAGTTGGTGAAGCAAATAGACGAAAACATTGAATTTTACTCTTACAATTCATTACTTGATATTAATTACAAGTCTTTCCGCAGTTTTTTAAGTGAAAGTAGTATGATTTTTTCAGAATATGAAGATAACATTCAGAGTGGAAACTGTTATTATTATAAAAATCGTGATAATAGAAATTTTTCTAATACCGCTGAAGCACATCTGTTAGTATCTAATGAAATATTTTCTCAAGAAGATTGGTTTTACGCAGACTTGAAAGATCCATCAGACTTAACCAATAACCTTGAGAGCGCATGCACACACACTTACTCAAATGGGATGTCAATTTTGCCCCGTAGCAATATTGGTTCTCAGTTTGCTGACCTGGAATACTCTTCTGATTTAAAAGATACGATAAAACATAGTAGAGATATGAGTAGAAAAAGTGCATACTCTTTGCAATTGAAGAAAATTAGTTCGGAAGTATTGATTTCTGACAAATGTCTCACTGATAATGACGTGAATCCTGAGAATAATGGAGTCCAAATAAAGGACAATTTTGACGCCGATATACCGCTTCCTCCTGAGCCTTCTTCTAGTGACTCCAACATCGATCTAGAAGATAAATCATTTCCAGATTTAAAACAGAATCAATACCTAGGAAAACGTACCCACTTGCTTCGAGCAAACAAAACACTACGAAATCGGAACTATAATATTCCCAGTATATATGCCATTTTAGCAAAAAATGAAGTATTAAATCCAAGATATGAAAAGTTGATTGAGAACAAAATAGAAAAATCCAGCAGTAGTATGGATGGCATATTTAAACAGAAAACGCTATGTACCCAAGAACACTACATCAAGGAGCATACCGGTATAAACAGAAAATTATCCTCAGAACACGAGGAAAAAATATCTGCTTCTTCCAAAGTAACTATGCTGCCATCAAGCAAAAATTCTGAATTAGGTTCATTAAAGGACCTTTCTCTGATTGAAATTAACTCAACATATGGAACTACAGCCAAACTGATGGAGCCAACGTCTCCAGAAGAACTCCATGCAGAAACTAAAGAAATTTTTCTCTCTAAAAATGGGACTTCTATTTACAATGAAGATAAATATTATTGTAATGATGAAAAAGTTCAAACTATCAGACAACCCCAAACATTTTCTTTTAAAAATTTACATGATATCTGTAATCCTGATTTCACACCATTGCTTGAAAATAATGAAAATTGTCAAAACAAAGAATGCCAAGATATTACCGATTCAATTGGTGTTGAACCAAAAGTTGAAATTATTCCAGAACATGATCCTTGCGATTTGATATATAATATTCAAATCCAAGCAACAAAAGTTAACCAGGAAATAGGACTAACAAATCAAGAAAACCTTGTAACATTAAATGACAGCAAAAAGCCAATGAGAATTTTGAACACCAATAAATCTGATGAATCAAATGAAAATGATTTAGAGGTTCACAATGTTCAGCTAAACACAGATTTCCAATTTAGCATTCTAAGAAAACAA